ATTTACTGGCTGGTTATGATGAAAATTTTAAAAGCTCAAGAAAGACGTTTTAAAGAGGCTAGTCATAATTTAGTCTTTATACCAGTGGAGGCATAATTAAAACTTTACACTCACATACGTTGTCACATTGGAGCTATGCAGAACTTAATTCTGTGTGCTTTGCTTATTACAGGGCACGTCTACAAAAGATGTTACTGCACATTTATTTAGTACTTGCTTATACAAGAACTAAATAAATGTACAGTAACTGGAGTTACTGAGCAATAGCACCAGCAAATATTTTTTAAGTGATGCTACTGCGCAGTAGCCTAATAATACTGTGCAGTAGTGTATTAGTATTGTTAGTGCTGTGATATGCTACTGCGCAGTATTAGGCTACCGTGCAGTCAATGTCTTGTGTAGTAGCACTGACAGACCATGAGCCAGATGTTCCCCCTCAAGATAACAAGTGGTTCCTTCCATGGTGAAGTGTAGGCTGAGCTGACACAGCTGGCCTATGTGGGAAAAGTAAGTAGTCCCCAAAAAGGGTTGTAGTGGAATACCTCTGAGGCAGCCCAGTATGAACAGGGTCCACAACAGAGAAAATGTGCTCGGTGACTCCTCTGAGGCCAGAGCTGTTGCAGATTCTTCTACTCTGTGCTTTTTAGGACATGCCTGTCTATCACAGAGACCTAACTGGCTAGTACTGTGCCTGGGTTCGTAGTGGCATGTGGTGTGGGCAGTGATTAGAGGTTTGCTTCTGCTAGGGGACATATTGCCTCTCTTTGCTGTTGATGTGCATATTGAATGGACAAAAAAGCCCACTCTTGGGGAGGTTTGTGATGTAGCTTCACACTTGCTGGTGAGACCATATATTGTGCAATCATTAGAGGTGCACCAGTACATCGGTCCAATTTTGGCTCAGCACTGATATAAAGAATATTGACTGTATTGGAAATCGGCCTGATGTGGCCGATAATTTGGCTGATAAATGCCTGTGCATGCACGCAGCTGCGGTGCAGGATGTAGGCAGCAAGGAGCACAGCCCAGCAGCTTGGTGAGCCACGTCCAGCTGGTAAGTCTGTTACGGGGGAAGAGGAGGGGGGAGGGAAGAGGTGTCGGGGGTGCAGATCAAAGTCCCTGTGATGAAGGTGTGGAGCTGGGGCAGGTGCTGCCCAGCTGGGGTGGGGCGGGGTGCGGGATGGAGCCTCAGCTTGTCTGGAGGGCGTGGGAAGAAGGGTGGCTCTTGCTGTTCTGTGCACCCCAGGAGGGCACGGGGAGTGGCGTGTGACCCTGGATTTGCATGGGACATGGGTGGGGTGGGCTGCCACTGGAGGCAGCTGCCGCCAGGGCCGGGACTCTTCCCAGCGTGTGGGGAGTGGGCTGGAGCTGCACTCGGGGCAGGTGGTAGTGGTGCTGGGAGAGGAGACTATTGGGCGGGCTATGGCAAATTTTGCCTCCATAGCCCTGCTTCCAGTGCCAGTGCTGCCCGCCCAGCCCCCGCCAGGAAGAGCCTGGTGCAACCCTGGCCTCAGCCCACACCCACAGCCCAACCCACCCTGCACAGTTCTGGGGTTACATGCCCCCTTCCCCTTGTGCCCTCCTGGGGTGCACGCAGCAGCAGCGGCTACTTCTACCCTCCCTGCACCCCCTGGGCGAGTTGCGGCTCCGTCCAGCGCCCGACCCTGCCCTGCCCCATCTGGGCAAGCGCCTGCCCCAGCCCCACTCCTCTCTCACTGCAGGGCCCTTGATCTGCGCCCCCCTGCCCCTTCCCTCCCCCTTCTCTTTTCACCACAACTGACTTACCAGCTGGACACAGCTCTTCAAGCTGCAGGGCTGTGTATTGGAAATTGGATCAGTATCGGCCAATATGCCTCCTTAAAAATTGGCGATCGTATCAGCCCGCTAAATCTCTATCAGTACACCCCTAGTTACCATAACTATTTCATGGCTTCTTGCAGCACTGTTTGATGCTATGGATGAGGCTGAAGCTATTTCTTCATCCCTTCCCTGTCTCTCTTTGTCATCTCTGTAGCCATATCCACCTCAGATTTCTCCTGCTTCCCCATTGGCCATTTGGAGCAATGAGGAGGGAACCTGGCATTTCTGATCCTTTTTATTTGATTTTATTTTCTTTGTGCTCCCGTGTGATTCAGTGTCTCTTAGTTAGAACTCCTCCTTCTACAGAATTGTTAGGCTGAGTGAATGGCATGTTTATAAAACCAAGCAACATCCATTTTTAGAGCTGCAGAACCCCAGCTCATGGCATTAGGGTCACAAGTTTGGGACATGTGGTATCTGCCATTTACCTACAGGATCATCAGAAAAAGCAGGAGTGATGTGCTGACTACACTGACTTCCTTGACTTTAATGGAGTCAGGACTTCACGCAAGGACTTCAGGGTCAGAAATGAGAAGCTTATAGGATGAATGACAGAGAAGACGAGTTAGGAGTGTATGTGCATGTGCTTGTGTGCATGTATTTGGGGTTTTTTAAGTCCCCTTTCCTGTAAGGCTTGATCTTCAAGGCACTCTGACATGAAAGGCAACACCTTTCAAAAAGCTATTTTGTAACTAATTATATACCTGTACGTATATAATTAGAACTTATGAAACCACCTGATGTAGTGTATTTTTAATCAAAGCAAATAGCTTAATGAGTTACAGGTAAGCACTATGTGGTTAGGATGGAGAACAAGTAATACAGGTATGTCAGCTGGCAGGTTTCCTGATTAAAATGTGCATTATTAGCATAAGAGCTCTTACTGTGTTGAGTTTATAAAAGACTCCCTGCTGTAAATCATGCTGAGTTACTGATGTGGCTTATCGTGTATAGCAAGGTCATCAAACCCACCTTTGGACATGGAAGGGATCTGAACCATGGGGCTTCTTCCTGGCTGGATCCAACCTGGGGCATGAAGGTTGTTGCAGTGGCCACAGCAGCAGTGTGGGGTCCACAGTATCAGCCATGCAGGGTTCCCATGGGGGTGGTGGAGGGTCTGGTTACTGGGGCGCTGTAGGGTCCAGCAGCAGATGGAGCACAGGGTCTGGTAGGGACAACGTGGAAGATCCAGTAGGAGTGGGGGCAGCAGGAGCTCAGTGTCTGGTGGGGGTAGAGGCATGCAGTGCAGGATCTGATGGCAGTGGCGGCCAGTGCAGTGTCCGGCAGGGGTAGAAGTGGCAAAACCTAGCATCCAGCATAGCAAGCTTGGATTACTGCTGATAGCTATACCCAGTGGTGCCAAAGAGTCCAACTTTTGGTGTCCTCTAGTAGCCTATGGGCTGGATAGAGAGGCTCCATGGCCCAAATCTAACCTGCAAGCTATATGGTTGACAGCCCTGCTGTACATCTATAGAGCAGAGGCATTTCTGAGCTTAAACTCAGGACACCTCTCCACAACTTCTGAATTTGGTGGTACCCATAACGAGAACCACTGTTGTGCTGCCTCAGCTTATCTCAGTGTTTCTCAACAGTGGTGGTGCTGCTGTCACTGCCTCAGCTAGGGTGCCCCATGTGCCTTGTGCACAGCCTGACCAGGAAAGGCTATAACATACATATACTCCTCATAGGTTACCTCATAAGCTGAAAGCTGGCAGAAACACCTGCTCTTGCCTCAGCCCTTCTTGGTCCAGTTTGGGAGATGCCATGCAGGGTTGGACTGGGAAGGGCAGAGACAAAACAGTCAGAAACACCTTCTCTTAGGCTGAGCAGATAACCCTAATGGAGGCAGAAGCATGTGTGTACCACAGCCATTCCTCATCTGACTACATTGTGTATGTGGGGAACTTTTACTTGGGTGTGGCAGTGATTCCCATGCCACACTATCTTTGAAAGGTTCTTGTAGCGCCTATCACCCTTGTTGAGAATCACTAATCTGTCTCTGTTTTTGGATGCAGATGTAGGGATTTGATCCTCTCGCTGCATGATAGTTCCCCCAAGGAAGAAAGGAAAGGAGCAGCTGTTATATGTGTTTCCTGCAAAACAAAGACGCCTACTTCTGCTTTATAAAACTAGTGCTTTTAGATCTCCTTATCTCCCTTTAGGATAGTTTAGAAAAAAAACCCATTGGGACGACACCAGGATTTAACATTTTACATGGACTTGTTCCACTATAGCCATTAAATCAAACATCTGTTCATCCACGTGCCATTAAATTAATGTATGTAACTGCTTAAAACAGTTGGAAGAAATTTGAATGTGTTGAAAGAATAGAGTTCCCAGATCATCCCTTTTACCATGGGACAGTGGTTTTTAAGGAATGAGTTCAGCTTTCAAATTATTTTTGAAAGGGGGAGGAATTATTAACCATTACTTAATTTTTAGTACGATTAGAGGGGAAACTGAGAGAACTAGGTTGCAAACACTTAAGGGATTTCACAAATCTTCCATAGCTGAGTTTAGTTCCATGTCTGTATGTACAAAATAGACATTTCTATCTTGGTTGTCTGTGACGGGAGAGGAGATTGAAGGGAAAGTAGGATATCAATAAAGTTGACACAGTAACAGTATTAGTAACTGAAATTTTAAAATACTGGTATACCTTGTGGGAAGTGTTTTGAATAACAGATTACTTGTATGCCAAGAAATAATTGTTAGAATCATGGAACCTGAGGCTACAGTAAGAAGTGTTGAAACTTGGTGTTGTTAGTGGAGAGAACACATGCAACAGACCCCAGAAACAGGGATAAGTTTACTAAGACATAACTATGCATGACAGATTTCCTACCCATCTAACTGTTGACAAGCACAGGGAAGTTAAAGCCCTGACACAGCAAGTGAGAAGTGGAGGGACACTTTTTAAAAACAACACACACCCAGCTAGAACTAATACTAGGAGCTGTCTTATTGAGGACTTGCTATGATAGGACAACCGAGAACTGCTCTGTTGATGGGAATTAATGAACAATTCTAAAGCATAGTGCTTGCTAAAGTCTCCTGAACTCTGTGTTAAGTTGAACTTTTTGCCATTCATTAAATTCCTTTCCTGCAAGTAATAGCCTTGGTTTATGAGTACAGTATGCTAAAGTTTAAAGTTAGGGGAGTTAGAAGAACAAATAAGTACCTTTTTCCTGATTTAATCCTACAACTTGCTTGTGCTGACATGCATTTCCCCAACTCACCCTTAGGTCACTGATTCATGTGTTCTTTACAACAAATTTTGTTTTACATTAATGTAGTGGAAAAAATGAATTGTGTGGGGAAATAGGTACACTGTTTTAGGAAGCTGTCTGAAATAAAAATATAGGCATAATGGTCTGTGTTCTTGCAGGTGGGAATTCTCCTAATGTGGCCAACTTGCAAAATTGTACTCTTACCGCTTCTTAATGATATAGAGGCAAGATGGAGTAATAGATATACAATCAATCCCTGGTTGTCCAATTCATTGATATTAGTGTCCAGACAAATTTGATATTTTATCATCACTCAAGATACTACTGAGGTTTTGTTGTACTGATTTTATGCTTTTGATTTTCTTTGAAAATCATTGACAAAATAAAAAATGTTTTCTTGCATTTGTTCCTTTCCGCCACTCCTTCCTCCATTCTCCAAATCCAAATAAGTAGAGAGCTTTCTGAGATCCCATAGCAAACATAGTTTGCTCTCCAGAGCTGTTCCTTTGACTTCCTCCAGTCCTCTAAATCCTTGAAGGGACGTGACACTGAGAAATGTAACTCTGACTCCTGATGCTGTTGAACACTGCTTTAGCTGCTGCTGCTGCTGTTCTTGCTATATGCTAGCCAACAAGCATCTCCTGAGAAATTCTTTAGGGTGGAGTCCTCTGCAGGTGCTCTGGTAAGAGCTAGTGTGAGAATTGAGATATCCATGTTGGCACTGCCATGATACATGCTGAGAAATTTTACACAGTAGTCGTTCTTCATATGTTTGGGGTTGTCTTATGGGAAGTGAGTGCTGCTTCAAATCTGTACTATTTGGGGACTTGTTATCTTGAGGAAAAGGAAAGATAGTATTAGTAGAAAAATCCCCCTCCCCCATAACTAAAATTTTAGAAGATACAAAATAGCAAACTATTAAAACCAGTAACTGAACGCTATTCTTACTTAATTGGGTTAGTTATTTTGTGCCCCAGAACATAATCCATTTGACAGACTAGTAAAGTAAATATTAATCATTAGCAAGAGAATTTCTGCGGTAATACAACATTCTCTTTAAAAACATAAGTGGTTTCTTGGGTCGGACTGCAGATCCATCTATCCCAGTGTCCTGTCTGACAGTGACAGCTAGTTAATGCTTTAGAGCAAGGGTGTCAAAGATACAGCCCACAGGCTGGATCTGACCCGTGGAGCCCTGTCATCTAGGCCCCAGTGTGCTTCTGGGTCTGTTGACCCATGCCATATACAAGACTTGTGCTGGACCAGCCCCATGTATGGCCCAGGATGCACAGTGCCTGCTGCAATTAGACCAGAATGCAGACCATACATGATACCTGCTTCAGTCAGTTCAGGCCCCATGCTGGATACGGTGCCTCCAGGTACCCTATGCAGTGTGAATCCTGGAGCAGGCACCATGTGCACAGAATTTGTCATGTTGGCAAGGTAGGGAGGCGGGAAGGTGTGGAGAGAAGATGCGGGGAGAAGTGAGCACGATAGAAGGGAGGGACAGGCTACAACTAGATCTGGACAGGTTACTGGTGTGGGTCGATAAGAACAGGATGGGATTCAATACTGACAAGTGCAAGGTACTGCACCTAGAGAGAGAGAGAACCCCTTCTTGTCAGCACAGAGGCAGAAGGGATCTTGGAGTCACTATTGATTCCAAGATGAACATGGGCCGCCAATATGAAGATGCAGTCAGGAAGGCTAACCGCACCTTGTCATGCATCCACAGATGCATCACGAGCAGGTCCAAGGAGGTGATCCTCCCCCTCTATGCAACATTGGTCAGGCTGCAGTTGGAGTACTGCATCCAGTTCTGGGTGCCGCACTTGAGGAGGGATGTGGACAGCATTGAGAGGGTCCAAAGGAAGGCCACTAGCAGGATCAGGGGGCAGCAGGGCAGGCCCTATGAGGAGAGGCTACAGGACCTGAATCTGTTCAGCCTCCACAAGAGAAGGCTGAGAGGGGATCTCG